CGTGGGAGTTCGTGCGTGAGGAGCACGTCCATCGTGCGACTTTTGGAGGACGCAAACAGCACGTAGAAACTTTTCGACATGATCAACAGCCGCTTCGTGCGATCTTGCTACGTCCTAGCCGGACGCAAGGAACCTAAAAGCCGTGCGTGGAAAACGTAATTGGGACCTAAGCTTAACTTTTCGACATGATCAACAGCCGCTACGTGCGATCTTGCTACGTCCTAGCCGGACGCAAGGAACCTAAAATACCGTGCGTGGAAAAAGGATTTGGGACCTAGGCTTTAAATACTAACTGAAGGACGAATACGATGAAAGCGTGCCACATATAGATAAACAATGATTGTGTGCAGTCGGGCAGATAATCAGATAAGCGGTTGGGACTTGGGAGATGACAATTAAAGCTGTCACTCAGCAGCATCGGTAGAGGGAGAGGTGGCAATTAAGGCTGTCACTCATCACCTAAAACGAGGCCAACTCAACTAACTTCCCTTACCCCAGCTGACTTACTCTAAGCATTGTGTTCTATTGTGTTTACCCTGTAATTATGTGCAATTTGCGATACGTAAGTTTATCCATATCCGTAATGTCACCTTCTCTGCACAAAACTGAAGTTTCCAAAAACCCCTATCTTGGAGTCATTCTTTCCAAAGATCTTAAATGGGGCCCTTAAATCAGCAACTTAACTACAAAAGCTAGCTGCTCTCTAGAATTCCTAAAACATTAAACACTGCCCATCACCCTGCAGGAAACCCTCATGCTCTGCCTTTTGTCCATTCCACTCTTGAATATAACCCCACAGTGTGCGGTCCCTTCCAAAAAGATATATTGGTAAATTTGAGAAAGTTCAACGACAGGCAGCATGCTTTATCACATATAATTATGCTGATAGAAAATCAAGGTGTGTCTCAAAAATGTTTAACAATTTAGGACTAGCTCCACTCTGGGAAAGGTGTAAAGCTGATAGACTTACATTTTAATTAAAAATGATTGAGAACCTCTACCATCTATGCATCACCAGGACCACTTGACAAAAATCCACAGCAACCAATCCACTGTAAAAACCAGGGATTTTTCCTGGCTGATAACTAAGCTGACAAGAGCAAATGCTTCTACTGGTACCCTCTCGTAGGAAAAACTTATCTTCACAAACTCTTTCCTGCCAAGAACCATATAGTGGACTGGGACCATCTAGAGGACTCTTATGAGTTTGTCTACAGTCTGTTGACTCGTTCAGATCAGCAGTACCCAGTGACTAATACCCGAAAATCATTTTCTCTCCCGTGGCGTCTATGCCGAGAAAGCCCTTGCGGCGTCAACCCATTCAGATTCCAGCAAGCAAGCAGACGTCCTATACATGTGCTGTACATGTACATGTAACCTTGGGTTTTCATCTAAGAAGATATCGGCCAGACAGACCAGACAGTTCTAACTGCCTCACGTTCAGAGATAAGATCCGTGGGATGTACTTCAATTAATGGAAATGAGGGGGCAATGCGCACTTTGCTTTGTAGGACAATTCAAATTTGTCGAAATACCACCTTAACGTACCGCGAGGCTGTCTTCTTCACCTACCGTAAGTGGGTACTTTGATACACCCCAGACTAAAAACATAACAAATAAAAAACGTAAAAATCATTTTCATATGGTTAGCCATATTAATTATACTTCAAAATGTTTTCATAATGCGATCCACTAAAACCATGCCACAAATGTAGTATTTCTATGTTTTAATACATTGCAGTTCACGACTTTATAACGTACTGCGGTCGTCTATTTTCCTACCTTCACCTCTCGGAGAGCGCGCAATTGCAAGCACACATCAGTAAAGGGGCTAAATTCCCCTCCTGATTCCGGTGTAATTTGACAGAGAGTTCCCCATGATAGAGAGTCTGCTTCCCATTAATTTATACAGGTAAACCTCGCCCTAGATTTTTACCCACTTTAAGTCAGGCTTACCCTAACCATTTTAACTAATGGAGGGCGGACTTAAATTTCTGTTACACGGAGCCCCGTTTCGTTACACCGCGGTCTGTCATAATACCTGTCACAGTTACCGTGTATACGTGCGCGTACGTTATTATAGAAAAGATTAATAAACAATTGAGATACAATATACAATTATGTACAATATCACTCAGAAAATACATGTAGAGCCAGTAATTTTGCGGAGATCTAACGCCTTGATGTCACTGCGATCTCGCTGAAAGTACCGGTACCTGTACAGGTAGAAGAAGTTGAAAATAGCATAGATTTCAATTTTGGGCGGCAAGATTACCTCTTCAGGAGACACTGGAATTTCCTGCATATCTACTGTACTGCTTACGTGACGTGAGTGAATTGGATATAAAAAACTCAATTCCATGTGTGAAAGTATCAAAACTAAATTGTTCCAAGACTAACGTGCACAGTCTACACGCAGTATATTTTTTTAAATCTATTTTTATTTAATTTATTTGATAGAATAAAATA